CGATCTCCACAGCAACCGCCCCGGAACCCGTCGCCAACAAAGCGGCCGCTGATTGGGCCAGGGAGCGTTCCCTCAGCCAACCAATGGGAAGGGGGGGAGAAGGCGGGCGGGAACGCGCTGCCCCGTCGTCAGGGGCGCTGCGGCCGTTGGGGGGTTTAGAAAAGCGCCGAAAGTGCCCGGTTTTGCCTCAGATTCCCTGTGGGGAGAGCTAGAGATGGAAACGTGCTTTTACGTGGCTGAGATAGGGGAGGTTTTCCTGTGCGATAGCATGATAATGATGTGAAGCAGTGACTTCAGGCAAACAGTTTGCTAAGGCAACTGCTTGTGGAAAAAAATATTAGAAGTAATATGATATTGCTATCAATTTCAGAGAGCAGGTGTATTACCTACAGCACTCACGAAGGCTCCTTGTGAGGAAAGCACCTGAGCACGCACAGGCTGTGAAGAACACCCTCAAGCCTCACACAATTAGTGGCATATAATCACATCTAAAGTCACTGATTGTTAAAATGAGTCCACCCCACACTGCTCAAGTTAAGCACGATCTCAAGTGTTTCACTGAATTAGCACCTCCCTTCGTTTTCGTTAGATGTCTAGCAGGGTAGTTAGCATCATTAATTTTAGCTACAAACTGCATAAGCAGGAAAATCAGTTTGGGGAAACCCTTAATATGCACACAACATAAGAAGAAGCTGTGTGTTGGCTTGGCACAGTTCAGACTGAAGCATTTCACAAGTTTTTGTACTGTAATCTCCCTTTTTGTAAAGAAACACCTCAGGGCTGGGGTGAAATTTTACATACAGGAGTATGTAAATATACTTGAAATATGTATTGTGGGAGAAAATACTGGCCATCTTTCCATCTAAGAATGGGGTTTCCATCCACATACATTGCAGTACCACGCCATTGTGCTTGCAGAGTAATTTCCACTGCTATCATGATTTTGTAATACTTTTCTGACAGAAGTGCCCTTCAGGGTGTCACTGGTCCTCTGTCTTGTGTAAATACACAGAAAGGTTGTCCTTGCTTCAAAGGCCTTGATGCTAAGAAATAGTTACACAGTCTTCAAAACCAGGTCATTACCTTTGAATATGCAAACATGCCTACACAGTGATCTCAAACAAACCAACAGAGGCCATTTCTGGGAGCAGAGATATTTATCAGTTTTGGAAGGTTAAGCCTGGGAAGTTACAGATGTCAGTACAACGGTTAAAAAAAAATTACTATGGCTGGGAGATATTAAATCCAGATGACAGGCAGACTCCATACCATGGAAGCAGGACAATCTGCACATAGCATTCAAGGGAAGGAGATTTTATAACATTAATTTTGAATGATAGATAAGAGTGGTATATCTAATTTACTCTAACCAACAAATATAAGCAACAGAGATGTGAGAAAACATTTCCTGCTTCTAGAGGCTTGTGTGCATACTCTAGCCCACGTAACGCCCCTAAGCATATCTTTAAAGGCCTAAAATAATACACTAAGCTAATCTAAAATTAGCTCAGTGTAAGAAAAATAGCCCATCTATTTACATCAACATGAACATAAGAACTATACTCAGTACCAACAGTTCATGAAAGAAAACAGCCAGTAGCAAGTTTATAGACTATCAGCATCTCTTTCTGCACTGACAGGCCCCAGCACCAGAAGTATTAAATTGGCTCAGGCCAAGACAAAAAAAATTCAGTAACCAAAGTTGTTCCCTTGATTAATATTTTAACTGCTCTCATAAAGAAAAAGCTCTATGAAACGTAAAATTGTCAAGCTGGTTATTAACCCAGCACTTCCACTGTGATTTTACAGTCTTTCCAGGATGTTTTGTCAGACTAGACCAGAATGCAGCTATGACATGTAAACAGGTAGGAAAGTCACATTTAACCTCTAAGGATCCTTTTATTGAGACATCTTTACATGGTGTACTCTTCCAAGCTTTCCCTCTCCTTTATCTCTCTCTGCCTGGTCAGTTCCGCAGTGCTAGGAAAGACAAGTCCCAGGGCAACAGCTAACACGGGGCACAGCGGACGGTGAGAGGAAGGCACAAAGCCTGCAGTAATGCCCAGCAGTGGTCAACGCTGCCCAAACAAGCAGAGCTGGGGTACAGGTCAGAACAGGTTTCTGTTATGGAAATGAAGGCTTTGGCAAGAATTTCTGCTTGTTCCTTCAAGGCACAGAAGTATCTCCAGGAAACAAACAGTTTGCGTTTGCAGATCAGGATTAAAGCTGCATAGTTCTCTGCATTTCAGAGTATTCACGTAAAGCTGGTCAAGCTCTTTTACACCATAGTGGCATAACCAGGGTTACCCACTTTCTTCCCTGCAACAAAGTACATTTGAGTTATGTGTGTATCCCGTATTCAGTTCACCTGTTTATTACCTAATTTCAAAAACATTTAGTTGAAGAGACCTGAGAAAATGCAGAGACCTGGGCAGCCAAGTATCTATCTCTAAGCACTGAGACCTATGAAAACGAAAGCCACACTAAGCCAATAACTGATGCTTACCAAAAGAGGTTCTGATAAATTTTATTAATCAGAGGTGTGGGCCCCCCAGTGGCCCTGAATGAGATTTTGCAAACATAGAAGATCCTTAAGCTGTATAGGGAATAGCTAACCTCTAATGGTAATTAGAGAGGATATTTTCAACTATCTTGAGACAAACAAATAAAAATCTATTCAGAATTATGAAGGAATGCAGAAGTACTCTTCAGCCTTGTGTTTCCACGGACCTCCACGCTCTTAGCTCCTCTGTGCCTCCATGTCTGGTACCTGACAAAGTCACAAAGCGGAAGAGAAACTGATTAAAGTTTTCATTATCAGTGGACGGCTGAGATAACATTATACATGAAAAGTACGGTGCTTTTGTTTTAATAAAATACCATTCACATTCCAGTTACAGAGTGATGGAGCATGCAGGTCCTACAAACCAAAACGCTTCCATTCAGAGTGAAGTGCAACAACAGCTGAAGTTGTAAGGGCCCAGGCTCAATAGGCAGAGCGCTGTCACTGTGCTAAGTCACCTGTGTACAGCTACAGCAGCCCCTCCACAGAGGACAGCGGGCTGAAAACTTCAGCCACAGGGCACAGTGAGATGCGGAAACTTCCCTAAACTCCCTGTAACAGTGGGGCAAGGAAAAGTATTTTGAACAGCTGGGTAAATGACAGGGATTAAATCTAGCGGTAGCAGAACCTTCAAAACATTTTCCCGTGGCACAGTGCAATTCTTGACAAGCAGCTGCCTCCTCTGCACACTGCCATTGCCACACAAATATTCAGCCACGAAAATTCTGTGGACAAATGAAACTTTGTGGGAGCAGTCACTGGCTGCTGGCCATGGTAGACCACGGAGCACAAAATCTGACATGAGCCTTAAATAAACAATGAAATAAATGCAAAAACCTCCCTCCCAGTAATCACATCCACAAAGGGTTGTTGGGGAGCCTGAAAATAGAAGAACTTGAAGGGATGTCCCAGGTCTCCTCAACCAGCCCAAGAGCCTTCTGCTGCCACAGGGAAACAGAAAATAGAATCTTTCTGCATTGCTAAGTATGAGGAAATCTGGAAAAACTGGAGAACCTCTGTGATTCTCAACACAACTGGATGTGTTCTGGATTTAAACAAGCTTTGCACTGCTACAAGGAGCTTTGTCTAGGCCTGGTAAGCATGGCCATCACCAGACTGCTAATGGCAAAACCACAGGGTGAGTTTTTTGCTCTCCAGCAACAGGCAGCTGGAGAGCCTTTGGGCTACAGGACAGGCTTGAGATAAAGACCTCAAATTATTCTAATAAAATCATTACAGCTGATTGCAACAGTCTTCAGCTTTATAGGTACAGGCTGCAAAGACAGAATCGAATCACACAGGTGAGAGTGCAGGACTACTAGAGCTATAAGAGGAGACAAGTTAAGTGGAGCTGGTCACCTCTAGGTTGTCTTCATCATTGCTTCGTTCCCACGGGCTGCTCGAGGGATCACAGGAAAGTCATCACCGTCCTGTTCTTGCCGATCTGCCAGGGCTCCAGTGGGTAAAAGCGGATGACAATCCTTATCAGGTATAAGAGCAAAAACACATCAGTTACTATTTTACAACGAGTTGTCATCCCTGCCCGGACTGCAGCAAGCTAGAAAATCTCTGCTAAGCTCCAGCAGGCTGCTGCTCCAGGCGTTAATTTAACAGAAGCACAGGCAGGCTGCGTGCGGGCAGAGTACAAACAGGTGCCAGAGTTCACCCGCACAGACCCAAACGCAGACTGAACTCCTACGAGAGACTCGTCCGTTTCAGAAGGCACCCGAGCACCTCTCATCCTGTCGGGTGTTCATCCTGACGGCACCCCAGGGCCAGGGAATGAACGTTCCTTTCCGTGTGGGGACAGGGCAAGGGGCCGAGCCTCCAGCCCCATGTCCCGGGGCCCAGAGCGGTCCCATGGGCCGGGACAGCCCGGGGACAGGTTGGGGACAGCCCGGGGACACAGCCTGCACTCACCGCTCGGTGCCGAGGCCCAGCTCCGCCGTCAGGAAGTCGAAGAAGCGGGCGCTGTGCGCCTTGTTCTGCTCCGCCGAGCCCAGCACGCCGATGGAGGAGACGAGCAGCTGGGCGCAGGGCTCGGCCGAGCCCGACACCACCATGGGCAGCCCGCTGCGCACCGTCACGTTCACCCGCTGCCGGCACACACACGGTCACGGTCACGGTCCCGATCCCGATCCCGATCCCGGTCCCGGTGCCGCTCCCGGCCGCCCCCCGGCCCCGCACTCACCTCAGCGGGCTTGCCTAAGATGGCGGCGCTGGCTGCGCACAGCTTCTGAGGCAGGTCCGGCGGCAGGCGCTCGGCCGCCAGGTTGGTGTCCAGCTCCACGAACGGCATAGCGGCACAGCCCTCAGCACCGGCAGCCGTGCACGGGGAGCGGGGAAGCGGGCAGCGGCTCCTCCCCGCAGCCGTCCCGCTCCTCCCCGTCCCGCCCCCAAGAAATGGGAGCTGCACGGTTTCTTGTCTCGTCCCGTATAAATATCGTCGCCCCCACGCTGGGATTTGAGCTCCGAAGTTGGCAGAAGTGCCCCTGGCACCGGACTCGGGCTTCTCACAAGCTGAGGAGCTGTGCCGGGAGGCTCCTTGTGCTGGTTTACAGCAAAAAGTTACGAACCGCCTTGGCTACCAAGTCGTGGTGTCAAGGTACAGCCCTGTGGGGAAGGTTGGCCCGGTATGACCTGATTTTTTTCCATTTTCCACAGCTACCGACAACCCTAATGAAAACTGGTAGAGCTGCTCGCCTTGCTGGGGGAATTGTTTGGCCTTCAGTGCTGCCAGCGACGACAATACTGGCACGGGGAGCAGCGAGTGAAGCAGCCAGCAGGAAGGCTAGACTCAGATTTCCAGGAGAGACTGACTGCAGAAAGAGAGGCAGAACAGAGAGGGGCCATGGCAGCTGGCAGGGAATGGCTGCTGGCACAGAAGCTCCCCTCAAACCCAGGAAAGCAGCAGCAGAAATACCCCAGGAAAGCTGTTAGATTTCAGGGTCAATTTACAGAAAGACATAATCTCAGTAATTAAGGGATGATCTTGAGCCACGATAACCAGTGAATTCATACAGTGCTACTGCCTACGTAGTATTTTTCCACACAGTAATTACTGTTCTGTAATACTTGTGCCAGGGGTAGGGAAACCACTGCTGCATAGCAGAGATGCAGTGAGGAATATTTTAGGACTTGCCCACTCAGAAGCCCTAGGAGGACTGTACTGAACTCTCTCCAGGGCACTCACTACCACCATCAGTGCAAGACAGACCAATTTGCCACCAAAACCAAGACACTGGTGGTATTCAGGCACCTTGCAAACCTCAGGCCAAAGCCCGCTGCCTGGCTGCAGGGAATCACTGACTCATCATAAGATGCCTTTTAGGATCCATTAAATCCTTTAAATATTAAAAAATCTCTTCCAAATAAATTACAAGGCCAATAAAAACACCACCACTACACCACCAAAACACAAGCAAGAGACCAGCATGTCAGAAGGCCTCCCAAGAATAAAGAATCAAAAGAGATTTACTTATCAGAAATCATCAACTACAACAGGATGGGGGTCTGCTACAAACATTTTTAATGATATGCTTTGTCCCTTGCTCTTGATGAGCAACGTGAGTGGCAAATTGTCCATGGCCTCAGGGCACAACCCAGAATCCCAGAGTTTTTATTAAACTAAAGACATTTGTTTTATTGTTTCTGTCTTGGAGCAGATGACTGAAATGTTTGCAGGGCGATAAACCAAGAGGGATGACAGCACAGCAGCAAGTAGTCTCCATCCTGCTCAGCCTTTGGAAAATCCTGTGGTTTTTTTTTCACTTGTAGACATCTGTGTTTGTCATCAGCCACTTAGAAATTCTACTCTCAAAGTTCAAAAGTCAACCACTTCCCCTTTAAAATTTAACTCAGTTATAGACAATATTTGTGAATAAAACATAAGTGAAAATATATTATTCAGCCAATGTTTGGGAAAGTGAGAATAAATGTGTGCCTGTTTCTAATGTTTTTGGTTCATGAAAAGAGAGACTTCAGCCAGTTCTCTTGTTCTTATAGAGAACATAATCACAAAATGAAATTTTCTACTAGTGAAAGCTCAAATATATAATGGAATTCTCTTTCCAGTTGGAAATTTGAAGATGTTCCTCGGCTCTGGACTAAATCCATAGTATCTAGAACTGAAACCTTACAGAAAAACATCATCAAAACATATCAGGTTGTAGAGAACTCAGCAGATACATGACTAGCCAAGACATGTTAATATTGGAAAGAAAAGAAGCTATTCTGTTACTGAGAGAAGCAGTTCCCAAATTATTTATTCATTTTTTCTTAATTCCTTCCATGAAGAGCTCCTGGGCAAAGATTTCAGGGTAAGGTTCAAGAGCAGCAGCTATTTGTGAATGGAAGTATGCAGAGATATTCCACCAGTTTTTGCATCTTTCACTACTTGTTACTTTCAACTGAAGATACTAGAAAGTGTTATTTTACTTAAATTGTGCTGCAGTACAAAAGGTTTTTATATTTGAGCTACAACTAATCAGAAGTAAACACAGCCAAGAAAAAGAGCCCTGAAGCTCCAAAACAACTCTCTACCCTATATTATTGTGATGCAATTGAATGCCACAAAATGTTATTACTTCAGCTTGCACACGGTGACTTACTTGGTGAACTTCCATCCAAAACAATCTCAGAAGAGCATGTCTGGATTTATTCCTCCTCTCCATTTTCTAGGAGGAATGTGGATTGCTATTGCACTATTACCACAGGAAAAGACGAACAACAACAAACAACAAAACAAACAAAAATCAATTGCAGTCATGTTCTCTTTCAAAAAAGGAAAGAATGTGAACACATTCTTTCAGTGTATTCCCTATATCAACAGAGTATTTAGGTAGGTAGTTATTTGAAGGCTGTGGCCACCCACAGCTTTTTGAGGTTGCTTGGTCTTTACTACACAGGTCTCCCAAGAACTGCCCTGCCACACCTGTACTGACAGACCAAGCATCTATAAAGCCCAACTTTCAGAATGGGAGAGTTGTGGTTAAACTAAAGAATTATAAAGATTCACAGTTATAGATGAATATGAATAAACTTCGCACAGGATCGTAAAGGCAAACAGAAGTATGGAATGTACATGGGTGGCCAAGCAACATGCTCCAGCAATAACAAACTTTCCAAGAAAAATGTGATGTCATTTTTCACTTTTGTGACTACCTGTAGTTTTGCTCCATACTTGTCCAGGCAGAGACACGCTGGGAAGGTGAGGATCAGGTACGCTTTGCAGTGCTTGCCACTTAGCTGCAAATGTTACAAATACATGAAAACAATGATCCTCATCCTATACAGTTCTCTGATGTTCCAGTTTGCAGGCTGGCTTAAATTTTGTCAGAAAACACCATTCATATCTCCACCATCTCTGAGAAGACTGACACTAAAATACAACCTAGATGCACATACTAAGTGATCCATAGGGGTCACTCAGCCTTTCGTACAAATTTAATGTTTCAGGTCTTAAAACTTCCTCAGCTACCACCCCCAAAGATGCAGGGAAGTCTTGGTGAAGTGGCAGAGGACACCCTGCAATTTCTGTGTAAGAATTACAGTGTTCTTTCCAGTTACATGTAGAGCTGGATATCAGAGAAGTTTGCTTTTTTTTTTTTTTAAAAAAAAAAAAAAGGGGGAGCAGAAAAAATGGCAATATAGGTTAATTCACTTCAACATCTTCATCAACATCGGCGCCAGATGCTCTTTCAGCTGTGGATCAATTTGAATGTTGCTCAGTTCTTTGATATTCAGGATCATCTCATGGGCTTGGAAGAAAAGCTCTTTCCCCACAGCTTCCTCCACCCGCCTGCGCCACTCCATCAGTCTAGGTCTGTCTTCAAAGATATCACAACCAACTCCAACAGGCTGCAGAAAGCGAGAGAATAACGGTGAGGCACTGGGCAACCCCCTCTTTGCCAAGACAACAGGCACCAAAAATGTACCTGCAGGTACAGGCAGGGGAAAGACAAGGGAGCAGCTCATGGAGGAGCATGAACAAGGAGGGAAATCTCCACAAGTCTGGTGAACCTATCTAGGGGACACAGACGCAAGTCTGTATTTTAAAGGCCTTTTAAGTCAGTTATTGAGTGCAGGAACAGTTCTTACAGAGTAACAGAGAAAACTACCACTTACTGCCAGTGAGTTTCAGCTACAGAATCAAGGATGTGGAGGCCTGACAGTTGCAGGGACAACTGCACTCTACTGTCAGGTCTGCTCAATTACTAACTGAACAGATGTCTAGCTGACATAGTCTACTGCCTTCCATTTTCTGCCTGTGCTATAGAGAAGCACAACTTGCTATTTTTCAGTCTCTGGGATACAGAACTAGGAGAAGGAATCATCTCTGGATTGCAGGACACAAGCCCTGGTGGCCTGGGAGAGAACAAGGAGTTTGTAACAGACTTAATTTGATTGCCTCTGTCTGGGGTTCAGTCTTACATCTTCTAGACATGGCATGGGCAAGTACCATCAAAAGGATAGTTTTGTATGATAAAAATATTTTAAAATAATTTTCTTACTCATCAGACCTGCCTGCTATTGCTTCTTACTTGCTTTATTTATTAACTTTTTCTCTGGGGGATAAAAATAAAATCAGAATAAAGGATGAAGGAGAAGTATTGCTGGAGAATAGAAACAAAAGAGATCGGTTGCAGCCAGCTTTTTAAATAAAAAAATAAAAACCAAGTGATTTTCTGAACCCACTCCTGTCTTCTCTTCATTGTCTTGGTTCTGCTGAGATACGCCCTTACTCCTCTTTCTAATGAAGTGTTACCACATGCTGCATCCCTCCCTGCCCAGCAGCATGCTCTCCCTTGTGCTGAGACCTCATTACCACAGTCCAGCACTCACTTGCATCAGCTCCACAATGGCCACAAGATCTGCCAGAGAGATCTCATTCCCGATGATAAAAGCCTTGTCCTGCAGAAACCTCTCCTCAAATTGCTTCAGGGAAGTGGAGAGCCCGTCCATGACCTCCTGGAGCTTCTCTGAGGGCAGTGGCTGCCCTGTGAAGAGAGGAATCAGCACCTGAGGAGAGAACGCATGTAGAGTACAGCCGGCTGTCTTCTCATGGATTTAGTGGTAGTCATTTAAGTTACACCCCCTGAGGTTACTCATGACTGTCAGTGATTCTAGAGAGGATGAGCTTAGAGCTTCATATACTGCTGTAGTTTCAAGTAGCTCACAGGCAGGGGCACATACAGTCTAAAGTGACTGATCTGCAGTGACAGTGACCTCCAGCTAACGAGCACCAAGACACAGAAAGAAAGCCAGGATTCGGTGTTTCGTGCCTGGCGTTGCACCTTCCCACTCCCCTTGGTGGGATACAAAAGAAAAATGGCCAACAGCTTCCAGGAAGACAGATCTCTGCAGCAGTCACCACTGCTAAGTCCCTGATTTCAACAGGCTGAGAGAGGTGAGCGGGCTGCAGGCCCATCAGCCACCCCTGGTGTCCACCCTGCCGTGTAACTGCCTGCTGGAGGCAGGAGCTGCCAGTCCTGTCAGGATACCACAGGAAGGCACGGTGCTGGCTGTGGCAGGGAGTGTAGGAGGCAGTGGAACGCATCAGCACTGGCTGGAGAGGCAGGAAATGGCTTCCTCCGCGTGACAGCAACGAGCAAGGCGGAGAGTGAGTAAATGTCATCGTGACACCACCCTCTCTCTGGTCTTCCAAGCACCATTCCTTAGACCACTAGAAATGTTTCCATAGGAATCATAAGTGTGGCCCTTGTCTTCATGGGCTTGCTGGCACAGGGTGCAGTAGCCTTTCAATGAGGTTTGTCACCGTTCACGGAGGTGTGCGCACTGTCAGAACCCGCAGTATTTCACAATGATGCTGCCTCCACCTACCATGGCTAAAGAAATATAGTTTACTTAGAGAAAAATTTAAAGATGTAAATTTTCACCAGTGGGAGTGGATTGACTTTCTACTTACTGCTAGTATATTCAACAACTCATGTTGTGATTGCTTAATCCAAGCCAGGATTTTTGCCAAATACATTTAGATCTATTTCATCAGAAAATTCAGGGCCAGTTCTCTTCTTAAGTGTTTCCAATTATGAATGATGGGATCTCTGGGTACAGTCTTTGAAATGGCTTCTCCTTTTCTGTATCTTAGGGCAGTTTATCTTCTCACAAAACTAGCTAATATATCTTCTGTTAGACAGTGGCTTAACATGTTTCCCTATTTTCATTTGTTCTGAGGACTTTTCTGGGTCACCTAATCATCAACAAGCTGGATTTCTTTCTCTTGGAGCAGTGCAATAACAGCCTGTAGAGACTGGAAGAAACTGCTCTTTGTACAAATCTGACTCATATTTGTGTTGCTTGTCTGAGCTCTCTAGCCAAAAATTCAAATGTCAATAAATCAAAAAGCTAACTGAGTCCTGATATGCTTTGTTAGGCATAAACAAGGGCAAAACTTCACACAGGAAGAGTGAAGTTCTTACCTGTTTACTGGCAACCTTTACTTCATCTGAAATCCCCTATTATAGCTATACTTGTAGGGCTATATGTGTATCTGGGCTTCTCTAAAGAATTGCATTAGCTTTTTGGTGAGTTGATTGGAAACAGGTGAACAGCCTCAGTGTATTTTTTTTTTTTTGCCTCAGGGTGATTCTGTTAATTTTGCCTAAATGTAAATTGATTTGACCACACTGAATAAAGAAATACTCTCTGTATCTCTATTCTACCTGTTGCTGAACTTATTTCAGGGTAGTATGTAAGTGTGCCGGAAGGAGAAGTCTCCTGGATTTCCACCCTCGTGGGGCTGCAGGGACTCGATGAGTGAAGAACACAAGCCTTCCAGCTTCCAGCAACAACACATGCACTTGCCAAAGAAGCAAAACTTGTGTGTGCATTCTCTGCACAGCTGCATAGGGAGGGGAAGGCCCTTAGAGGCAATACCCAATCTGTTATATTTTTGTTCATAAATCACGGCAATAAAAGTCTGTTGGCCTTCAAGACCTTCTGTATCAGTACTACTTTTAGGCATTGGAATGGGCTGCCCAGGGAAGTGGTGGAGTCACCATCCCTGGAGGTCTTTAGAAGACGTTCAGATTTAGAGCTTAGCGATATGGTTTAGTGGAGGACTTGTTAGTGTTACATCAGAGGTTGGACTGGGTGATCTTGGAGGTCTCTTCCAACCTAGATGATTCTGTGATACTTTAAGGGGAAAAAAATAAAAGAAAACAACAAATTGACCAGAGCTGCTTTTGCCAGATCCTGATGTCAAGCAACTAGGAACAGCTCCGTCTCTGCCAGCTCCTTTCAGCTAGGAATAGCCTGGGTTTGTTATTTGATTCTGACAAACTCTCTCCATGCTGGGCCTGTTCAGTATTTGGCCAGGAAAACATTGCTTTACACTGATTTTAATACTCAGTCTCCTTACCTTGATCCACATGGTTTTAGGAGCATTAGCCCGGATGTTAGCGTGATGCCATGAGAGGTATTCATCTACCTGGGCCCGTTTTTGGATGTCTGATGGGTACCAGTGGTCGGGAGTGTTGTACTTTCGACTTAGATACAGCAGAATGGCAGTGCTGCTCAGACATTAACAAGAGACAAGAAAGGGGGCAGGGAGTTAAGATGCAGAATGCCTTCACTTCAGTTCCCTCTCCTACCCCTTCTGAACTTCCTGAACACTAAAAAGCATTCAGACCCAGATTTCCAACAGAGCCTAGGGGCCATATATAGGCACCTAATTCATATTGACATTAGAGATGGCACTTTATCCCCTTAGTCCCCCTGAAAACTTTAACCTGCTGGAAAATCACAGCACTGATAAAAGTGCACTGTACTGCTGGACAGTAGTGGGGTAAACAGACAAAAATCCTCCATAATCATCTATCAGCGATGTTAACCCCATTTGTTCCTCAAATGTTCTGACCTATTTCTCTGACTTTTGCTCAATGTTTATGTGCCTGTGTACTAAATGAAACGTAATGAATTATGTTGCCTTTTGATCAGATCTATGTCTTTCTAGCCTGCACCTTTCATTGAAGCCAGTGGAAGTCCTAGCAGGGAGAACCTACAGAATCTTATTGTGTTTGTCCACATGTTTATACTTCCACTAATGAGCAGAAAAAGTCAGACGGAAAAAAACCTTAGTCATCTGCAACAATGTGTTGGCTGTTACTACAAAGAGATGTCATAGATAACCCTGTGCTGACAAAAAGAAAGAAAATGCAGGCCCCCCGACTATTCTGATACTGAAATAGTTCAATTATTTTAGTGTTATGACACTATTATCAAGTCTCCTTATTAATTTTACATTAAAAAACCTAAATTTCATCTCTGTAGGTGTTAATTTGTTGTTATGACTAAATGAGGTAAACAAAAGAAGCTCCTTAGTTTTTTCTAGTGTAAAAGGGATTTTTATACAATTTTAAACAATTCTCAGAAATGTTTATGGTCCTATTTTGAGGTAAGTACATTCAGAGGATCAACAAGTTAAGTCAACTGATTTGTTTACACTGTGAAAGATAATTCAAACAGAAAATGGAAACAGAGTAAATGAGGTTATAGTATTACAAATGACTAAGATGTTATAAGGTATGAAACTTTGCAGAGACTTTTTCAATCTTTGCAATTCTCTTTTGAAAGCAAATACATTTGAAATATAAAAATATCATCATAATTATATGTTCATCACATCAGGAACTAGATGTGAGTTCATAACATATTAACCTCTTCGGATTGAGAAGCAAGGCATGTGAAGGAGGAAACAAGCACTTACAGCGTCATCGTAGGCAGAAAATGCTTGCTTCTCCATAAAAAGACTTAAAGACATAACAGCTAGTTGATAATCTATAATTACAGAAGTTCCTCCTGAAGGGGCACCTTTCTAATGACTCCAAGTTGTTTATCTCCACATAGGGATCCTGTTTAGCCTAAAACTGCATATTGATACATATACATATGTACATATAAATATAATTTATTTTCTCTTCAGGAACAAAGGAACTGAAATGCCAAAGCAGATCACTAATCTGTTCCATTCATAAATAGCCAGTTTTGGTATCCTTAGTCATTCAGAGGGAATGACGCCTCCTGAACACCATATGTCTGACTGGTGCCCAGGGAGGCCTGAATGTCTGAGCTCTTACCATTCTGCTAGGGTGAAATCTCCATCCTTTAGTGCTGGTACTTTCTTCAAGAGGCTGATTTTGCTAGCCCCTTCACTATTTGGTGGCCCTAAGAACATGAACAGACAAGTCGGAGGTTAGAAGAGTAACAGCCAGTGAGTAACTAACGAAATATGTGCATCCAACTGGAAAATCATGAACTCTGCTAGGTTTTTCCTATATGGTCATATTTAGCAATTAAAAGGTTGAGAAAATGAAGAGTGACTCTAAAAGCCATCAGTCCTGTCACATGGCATGAAGCAGTTCACATTTTAATGCATTTTTATGCAGGAATTAAGTTGCTTGACTCTGGTACCAGCATTCCCTGCAAAAAATACTGAAAAATCATTTCCTAAGAGGCACTTAAATACCATGATGATGATACTGTTATTGAAAACACTATCTGGACTTGAGAACAGCGTCCTATGGTTAGAGATGGGGTAAAAAGATATAAGTTAGGATATAAGTTAGACAAGTGAGCAGCTGAAAAATACTTCGTATTTGCAAACAAAGCAGGGACTGGAAAAGTTGAGTTTGCACGCAGAGCATCCTGACGAGGCTAGATGGTTGCTGCTCCTGCTCCTCTTCCAGCAGACAACACCAAAACAAATTTGTTTTCTTCCAGTTTGTAAACATGGCTGACTCAAGCTAGGATGTAGTCATGATGGAAAGCAACTTAAGAGCCTTGGGCCCACGGCGATCACTGCAGTGGTTAATTATTCAAAGAGAAGCCGGGTGGCTTATAAGACACACAGAGCAGAATCTTTCCCTTGTTTGTTTGTGGCTCAAGAGCAGGGGGAACTGAGCATTTCCAAAGAAAGCAAATGTTGATCCCACAGCACACACACAGCAGAGGATGTTTCCAGGGTTCTTGCTGAAATGGGAAAAACATGAATGTCAGCAATACAACAGTGGATTCACAAAGTAACTCATTCTGCCACAGCACACATTCACTAGGGGCAGGGAAACTCAAACGCTTCTGTCCTGTACCACTCGCAGCTCTGGGTCAGCATTTCAACCTACCTCTGTCAGGAAAACGTAAGAGGAAGATGCTATCCCATAAAAGAGTTTAAACTACACACTTACTTGGAGTTTGGAGGCATTAATTGCTGGGTAATATCTAATCAAGTTTTCAATTTCTCACTGAAGGTGCTGAACTTGCAAGTCAGCAGTTAAATGCCAGGGAATTGTACAAAAGTCCAGGAACGTGTACAAAAGAAAAGGTTTGAGAAGTTTGTTTACTTTGCTTGGTTTAAATGCTTTCTGTAAGGAGACATGACATTCCAGGGTGCAAAGCCTGGTCAAATCAAATCAGCACAACCAGCAGAAAGTCTTACACAAAAATCCCTTTGTTCAAAAAAAAAAAAAGTACTAACAGACCATGATCTACATCTCTGAGAACTATTTGCTGCCATACAGAAGGTGGTGGCAGTGTCTGCGTTAATGGACGAAAGTGCAGCACGAAATAGTCTCCAAGCAGTAAAAAGTCTTTGGCCTACCAAATTTATTTACAGTTGGCTGTGGGAAGAGGCTGGAGAAAGCAAGGTTGCTGCATTACAAAATACAGAATGCAGAAAGGTCTCTGACTACTTTCCTAATATTGATTTCAAGGTGAGATAATTCAGGCAGAGCAAACATTACCACCCTACTCTTGTTTCTAGCTGACCAGCCTCTACCCTTGTTTCTTCTTTGGGAAGTGTGTCTTTAAATTCCAGCATAAGTAGCTTCATTGGAGACTGAGGGTCACACTCATCCACTGTCTGAGGGATTCAGATGCCCATCTCCTGTCTCACTGGGAAATGTCTTTATCCACCTACAGTGACCATGCCTTCCCGCTTATAAAGGTGGGATGCAGAGCAGAACCAGGCAGCAGCATCAGGAAAGGCAGGAAGAAAGGGTTTCTTAAGAATTAAGAAATTAAGACAAATGGAAAGTGTAAGGTAACAAGCCTATTATCTGAGAAACCTGAACTTAAAAAAAAACAAAACAGCAAACAAACAAACAAAAAAAACCCACCCCTAATAGAAAATCAAGCCAGCAGACAAAGTACAAGTACACGGTGCCATATTTCTATGTTTTATATCACAAAAACTGCAAGGCAGATTTGTGTAAACCTCATGCCAGCCAAGGAGTTGCTCTGGGAAAGTGTTTGGACCCGTGCATTTAGAGAGGCTCCAAAGGCCAGTGCTCCTCACACCCAGCTTGGGCTAGATCTATAGAGTTCTGGTGATCTTTGGAAAAAATGCAGCAGAAGGTTGCAAGTCAATAACACCTGCAGCTAATGAGCAGTCTATTCTTAGACCTAGCTGCTTGGATGTTACAACCTACTGTGTTTATCATCTAAGGTATCAAACAACTGAAAAACAAGGATATGAGAAGTAAGCAGTGGATAAAGGCAGCCTGAATCAGATTTCAGCCTGCTTTCACAGTGTATCACTCTCAGCAGGAATACTGAATACACATTCCTCATGGGACTGACTTGTCACTACAGCAGGTTGGACAGTAGGTCAGTGTCTGTTACACAGACTGCACCACAGCCCAGAGACAGCATCGTATTTACTTTGGCTCATACAGACTGCAAAAGACCTGTGCCAAGACCCTGCCACTGAGCTGCAAACTGATAAAAGCCTCGGTATGAACACTAATTCCAGGTTGCTTCAGTGGGACTGGTTGTTTATTGCTTTAGACTAGAGACCAGTATTTTTATTTGCAGAGTTTAAGATCGTGCCTCTCTCCCAGCAAGCAGAATTAGACTTTTTGTTCAGTTATTATGTGGCCCATCTTTATCACTCCTGTGATGTTCACTTGACTTATGGAGCTGTTTAGCGTCAGTTGCATCCAAGTGTAATTAGTTCTTGGTGTCCCACAAGGGTGTGGGACACTCCCTGTGTGTACTGCTGGGCTTTGAGGAATAACTTTATTAAGCTGATTGCACACTGTCAGAAAGCAGGGCAGGCTGCACACAGGAAGGATTCTTAGTGTAGGGAAGATTCACTGGTGGTAAAAAGAGAAATGGAAAGACTCTACAAAATAAATAAGAAATAAACACCACATCGGTTCATTTGCCAATTGTGTCCCTGCCAAATTATCTCCTCAGCCAAGGATTTCCAAGCGCTATGCTTTGCCTTAGGCAAAGAAGTAACAATTTACTCAGAAAATACAATATGCAAATGTTCAATAGTCATCTTATACAGCTGGACGAGTCTGAACAGCTGAAAGTTTCTGCTAAGTACACCCAGAGCAGTCCTCGGCTGTCACTGTGACTAATTTGCTAGAAATGGCTGGAGGAACATTCCTCGGGGATCCACAAAAATAGACGCAGCATGGCTACGAGACAGCTCTGGGAACAAGAGCTCCATGGTCAAACCATTGTATTCAGGTGAGTCTGCAAGGCGCGTGTTGGAAATCTCCCAGCTACCTGACTGAGCCAGTCCTTCCCCTGCAGCGGGCCAAGCTGAGCTTCCAGGGGCTGGGAGCAGGTTCAGCTCTGCTGCGGTCTTACCAGGCTTGACCCTGCTTTACTGGCTCCCCAAGCAGGAAGGGACCCTGTCTTGGAAGGCCACCAAGGCACAACCCCATGAAAGTCTCCTCTGAGCTCTGCATCCCCGCACTCCTCAAGCAGGTGATCTCCTGCTCCCACTAGCTCCAGCATTTTGCTCGCCTCCCGATTTCAAACGTGTCCTCCTGCTGCTGCTGCATGTCCCCAGGCACACACTGTCAGTGCCGTACCCCCTTAGCAGGGAGAGGCCCGTTGCGTTTCCATCCACCTGGAGCAGACCGAATGCCCCTACGGGAACAGCCCAAAACGATTCGATCCCTGGGCAAGTCCCAGCGAAGCAGAGCTCGGGATGCAGCCGTGACAGGAGCTCAGTGTGGCACTGACCCCAGAGCTGAGTGGGACATGGCGAAACCCTCAGGCCTCCTCGCTCAGGGAGGTGAAAGGACTGTGACAGCAGCGGGACGAAGGCACCTGCAGCTCGCAGCGAGGCGTGACGGGGCAGCGGCCCTTCTTGCTGCGGTGGCCGCACGCAGGGTGCGGAGCTCCGGGGGCTGCCAGCACCCGTCCCCCGCCGCCCCAGGGTGCCCCCACCGCCTGGGGCCTGCTGTCAGGGGATTGTGTTACGGCCTGGGCTGCTGCCAGCCGGGCCAGGGCACAGCCTGTTCCTAGCGGGCAGGGCAGGCAGCACCGCCGGGACCCCTCCAGCCCCGAGCCCCCCGGGCGGGCAGGGGAGCTGTGACAGGAATATAACGGCCCTGGGGAGCCGGGGGGAGCTTCACCTGTGCGGGGCTGCTCCGCGCTGCTCGCCGCCGCCGGCTTCTTCCCCAGCACCGAGTCTGCCAAAAAGCCGAGAGAGGGGCGCTGAGTTTTGGGGGAGGGGGACAGGGGGACACCCCTCGCACCCCGTCCCCGCCGCCCGCCCGCCCGCCTCCCCCGTCCCACCTTTGAAGAGCTCCACGTGCTTGAACTCGAAGGGGATGTTGTTGCTGCGGGCGAAGATGTAGATGGAGCGGCAGGGCTGCGACAGCAGGTCCAGGTACAGCTCCAGCCCCATGCTGCCGCTTACTGCTACTGCTGCTGCTGCTGCTGCTGCCGCTGCTGCTGCTGCCACCGCCGCCGGCTCTGGCCACGGCTGCCCGGAGCCGCCCCGCTGGGGCAGGCGGGGGTTGAGCCGTGCCTGGGCGGGCGCTGCCCTCCCCGTGGGCGGTGGCGGCGCTGAGGGGAGCCCTGAGGCGCCGGGCCCCGGCTGAGGGCCGGGGGTGCCCCTCCGGGGTGGTGGTGGGGGGAGAAGGGGAACTGAGGCGGGGGTGTCCCCGGGGAACCGCCCCGGGTGGCAGGTGGAAGGTGCTGGGGGTGCTGGGGGTGCTCCCTGCCCCACAAAATGTCGGGTTGGGAGAGGAGAAGGCTGCTGGGGGGAAAGGTGTGAGGGACGGGGAGCGGGGCACGCACTCGGAGCAGGGCTGGGTGCCAAGCACCGTGCAGCAGGGCCGGGCACCCCACGGGTTGGGGTTCAGAAGGGAGCTCCCCCGTCACGCACCCTGCGCGGTGTGGTGAGGTGACGCCCTGACGCGGAGGGCGGCAGTGGAGCGTGGAAGGTTCTCTGCAGGCACTGCACAGGCCGGTGACCCTCCTGTCTCCCTGTTTCTTGTCATTCAAGACCTCCACGTGAGCAGAGAACTAAAGTTGAGGCTGAATTCGAGCCCTCGCGTGCACCCGCAGTGTTTCCCAGCTGTGCGAGTCGGGGACAGCGACGTGCTGGTAAGTACGGGGACGTCATTGACTCTCAGAGCAGCTGAACCACTCAAAGCAAAGTCACCCCCAGTCAAACCCACCTCAGCTCAGCGACACCTTGTTATCAGTGCTGTGCCACAGAGCTCACACGTCACACACAAGTCCTCCGAAACAGCCATGGGAACCTCAAAGAAAGGGAGCTGGAGGACCAGTTTCTGGTCTGCCTGTACAAAGCATCGTTACACAGCATGGTGAAGAGGTTCAGATGCTGAGCAGTGAGCTCACTGACTGCATAAATTAAAAACTGGAATGCTCTCATGTGCTTTGTTTTATATTGCTTTGCCAAGGCTTCTGCTCTGACAGTTTCTTAAGCATGGGGATTGCTGTTAGACTGGTCAGTCTAACAAGCTGTGTTTGAACAAGCTGTGTCTCAACATCAAGTGTTGAGTCCACTGCACCACGCACATATTTTCTGGAAGAATTTTTCAGATCCAGAACTGCGCAATATTTTTTTTTTTCAGTTTCTTGGCCTGAATAGCTTGAGAGGGGCTGTGTACATGCTTTAGTTCCTGTTACGCTCTAGAGCACCTGCACGCAGCACCAACATGCCAGAGACGAAAGCTTGTAGAGCACTGTGGTAGGTGCTTACACTCATATCAAATTTTTTCAGTGCAAGGAGATCTTAAATGCTAAGGGAATGGGGAAAAGGAGCACGAATGCAGTTCTGAACAGGTAATAACAGGCAGAAAATTCATGGTGTTTCAAAATGGTCAGAAGTCCTTCTAAAATATCAGTGAGGAGAGTTTGTTGATCCCAGTGGAGGGTAGCAAGATCAGCAGTGTGGCTTCACTTTGATCCTAGATTCATGGTTCAGTGGAGCCATTAGTCCTATCTGGATTTTCAAGGTCTTCCCATGGGTCCTGGAAAAGTTCCTTCTGTAAGTCTTTCTCCAGTTTGCTGACTGCACTGCGCAACCCACACAACCAAAGAGATATTTTTCATCTGGTCACATTGTATGACATTTTAGTGCATTATTTTTGACCAGAGTTCTAGCACAGTGTTTTAATTTAGTTCCATCACTTCAAAGGAAGTTTTTCCTCCCTGTACTTGTAGGCACTGTCAAGAAAAAAAAATGCAGTAGGCTTTGCATTGTATTTTTAATCATTTAGAAGATGTCTTGGGTTATGTATCTGGTTTTTAAACTTTCTTTTGATTTTGTGTATCACAGTTTTGTTTTATTCTAGAAAGCACAGGCTCTCACCACTTTACAAATAGTCCCTGGCAAAAATTAAAGAAAATGATTCAGAACGGCAAGTTAAACTCTCATGGGAGGTGTAACATCTCTCCATATGCAGGGGAGTGGACACCGAACAGTGTACTGAGGCATGCAAAACTCTTGCACAACCTGTTGGGTTTTGGCAGGTAGAGAGGGCTGCTCTTGGGGCTCTTAGCCTAGGGCCTGAAACCAGCCAAGATCAAATGACACAAATGAACCAAATGGGGGAGGTGGAGGGACAGCAGAAGGCAAAGTACAAGGATGAGATACTCAATCACCATGATTTGGAGGGGAAAAAAAAAAAACAGCAGCAAGGCAGATTTATCTGTTGTACAACTCTGTTGCCATGCGAGGAGTAACTGTGGGAAGGTGTTTTGTCCTGCATGCCCAGGTGGGCCTGAAACACCAGTGGTCACTGAGCACACAGCTTCATTGAACATGAACCTGGAACTCAGATGGGCTTTGAGCAGACGGATAATTCTATGGGGAAAAAATTGGAAATCTCCTCCTGTCATCATGACCATGCTGGAGAGAGGCGGTAGCTATCTGTGTGTTCATCCTCTGTGACACTGGCAACAGAGAAGCATGAGACAAAAGGGCTCTGAACACAGTTCTAACTTGTTTTTGAAGGCAGCGTCCTTGCAAGAGCACACAATGGGTGACCTTTAGGGAAATACTGCTTTATTCAAACAAGCATAAAATAGGCTCAAGTTTCTCTTACACAGAGTTCTTGTGCTGTAGGTATCATAAATAAGAAAAAAAAAAGACACTATTTGCTTTGGCTCATGCAATGGTTTCGTATGCACAGCAGCCCTACCTAGAGATTCTGCAGGGAAATGTATGTGAAGCAAGGCACTGCTAACATTTGACGTCTCTGCCAAGATTAGCACTCTGTACATTTCGCTCTTGGTTTTAATTGTCTCTGCTCTGATTATAGCTGAATAGAAGCTGAGGAGTTTATTGTGCTGGTAATAGGAAGTTTACTCTCTGCAAAAAAGGGAGAAGTTGGAGGTCAGGAGCATGAAGCTACACAAAGTACAAGCGGTGCCAGCAGGAGAGAGTGCAGCAGGGTGAGATAGCTTTAGTGAGGTAGCAAGGAAGGAACTACTTTATTCCAACAGTGCACTGAGAGCCAGCCAGGTGGATGTGGTAAGCTGCAAGTTACAGAAGAAAGGAAGTGGTTGGCGGTGTGGCATAAACAGGCCGTTTTCCTTGGGTTGAGCACTGCAGGCAAACTGCTACAGCAGAGGATCAGTGCAGCACTTACAGAGGTTACTGGTGAGGCAGCAGCAACGCGAGCACTCATAGGGCCAGAAGAAAGCTGCTGTCACTGAGTTTTCTGGCTGGAGTGCAACAGGCTGTCCTCAACAAACATACCAATAAAAATCTGGTGAGAATACAAGTATCCTCTGCCTCTGTCAGCACAGAAACTGAAAGAGTTTTGGGGTAAATCTGTTTTTTTCACCACTGACGTTTAGGATTTCCTGCAGGTTGGAAGAATGGAAAGGGGACTGGCCTGCTTGGCTGGTATATCTCAGCCCTGAGGGACGTGCATTGCAAGCTCTGGTTCATGGTGCCCTTTTGAACTACAGGGCAGGTTTACTCAGGAAATGCAAACACAGAAGAGACAGCTGGCTTACCCCTCCAAAACAGCAGGTCCTGGTGAGAGTGTGAGACTGCTTTGGGCAGCTGTTTTCACTTTTTCTGAGCACTGAGTCACGTAACCTGCTGTGGTATGCTGGAGGTGGCTGAGGTGGCCAACATCTCACCACACTGCCACCACCGTGGGTGGTGTAACCACCTAGCAGATCACAGCGCAGAGACGGACAGACTTCCAGCTGCAACTGGTGCCCAACAAGGAGGAAAAAAACAGTCCTGGAAACTAGAACCTTCGTCATGGCTCTTACCTGGAAATGGAAGATTACAGAGGCAGGAAGAGGACAGGAAGGCAAGAGGCGTACAAAAGGACACAGCCAAGAGGTTGTGAAGGCAGCTGCACAAGTGTGTGTAATGAATCCATGGCCGCTCCCTTCCAAATCCTGTTTACAAATCCAAACAGAACTACACATGGCAAGTGTAACCATTAACTTTACTGGAGAATCTGACACGACAGAAGAGTAGTGGAACATTGACAGTACTGAGGCACTGGCTGGTTCACTGGCTAGGCACTCCACTCACCCTGGGGCTGGCCACCACAGCTCCCTCTGCCACGGGTACTGGCCCAGCCACAGCAGCCTTCAGCAGTGGAGAACCTGGCTTAAATATCTTCCACCGAGCTGACAGGGCAGCTCAGGGGAAGGGACAGAGCACCAATATGGTTTGAGGAGGGGGACCGTGTAGTTGGCAGTGGTTTCACCTAGAAAAGCAGCTTTTCTCAGCTGTGCAGTCTGTTCCTTGTAGATTATAGCAGAAGTCTGTAGTTGAGGACCTTTAGTCATGGGACTCACCCCATCCTTCTCAGACCTCGCTTGAAAACCTGCACAGCCTCCTTGCTCCTAGGCTGCTACGTCCCTTTATTCCGACACGTAGCGCAGCAGCCTCTAGTGGCCAGGTGCTCCCACACCTTCCTGGGCAGGGTCCCCCTGCCACGGGCTGGTTCTTGGCCATTCTCTTTACCAAGCGAGCAAAAATCTTCTACCTGAGCTTGCTGCAAAGTGAATGTCATTTTCTACAACTAAAAGGCCTTGTTTCAGGCAGCTCTGTTCTGTCACACTTTCAGGAAACCTCTGCCAAAAAGGACAGTTCTGACTGGCCTTGTTGCCACCTGGACTGAATTGCCTGTCCTGAAGCAGATCCAGTGGTGCTAGAGCAAGAAAGAAAAGCCTACAGGGCTGCAGCTCATATATCTGTAGTGGATGAGAGAAGAAAGCAGCTCACTGCACTGTGTTTAAGACTTAGTTTTCTTCACTTTTAAATTGCAGAAAGACTGTAATTGAAGTGCATTTTGTGGAATGGTGTTTTTGTATGATTTTTAAAGGAAATGCAGAAATATTGGAAAAAGCCTGCACAAAATAATTC